TATAATAATAACGAAGAGTCAAGATTTGTTGTTACTCCGAGTTTCGTGCTACGCACTCATCAGACAGTATCAGTGGGGATTTAGCATTTTTCAAAACGGAGTCCAGGTTTTCCACTTCTCTGCTTTTAATATGTGAGTGCCCTTCGTTTGAATGCAGATTATACAACTTGTACGTCTTATTTAARTTAAAAAAAGCAGCTTCATCTARCCCCGTTTTCTAGCCCTGGATCCACCACTGATGGTCATCAAATACTGTCTGATGAGTGCGTAGCACGAAACTCGGAGAAACAGAAAATCTTGCCTCTTCGTTATTATATATATAAACGTTTATATAAAATTTCCTTTAAGACGAGTAAGATTCAATGGCAGTAGTTAAAAAGATAGTTGGGTGGCTACGGTTCGGTGCGTCTCGTCACACTGTACCTATGGTTCGGGCTATGGTTGGTGTGGTCGACAATCGACTGGATTACCGGTTTGTTTGTTTYRGGTGAGAACAATCTTTTCGCACCTGTTACTGATCCAGGACGTCATACGTGATGTTTAACTTKCAAAAGTAACTATAAAATACCCACCTCAAAATAGTCACCGGGACTAAACCTTTTCATTTCGTCTTCAAATTGTGGTTTTTTGAATACTTTTCCCGGTTGTGGCTGGAGGCAAAAGTACTCTACCACGCATGTCTGGAACCATGTCACGTCATTTGCGTCAACAGTTGCGGCCAACGCTCTTATTTATAGAAATAATTCAAGCATGTTTCAGTTTTAGCCAGTTCGAAGTTGAGGACAAAGCGCGAAATGTTTTAAGGGAAAATACCATCTTGGAAATACATCCTCTAAAGTACTCCCATGATGTAATAATGTCAACGTAGGGCGCTTTCCATGACTCAGAGCTGGCCGGCTGAGCTTGTCCAATTATACAGTGAAATCCGTTGAAAATCAGAAAGTGTCAAGTCAAAATAATTAATTACTAAATTGTATCCACTAATCTGATGGAATATCTGTAAAATTGCAGATAATAGGCCTATTGGCTTTTAACTATTAGTCTGGTCTGGCCACTCGGTTCTGATGGAAAGCGCCCAGTTACCCCAGTTTTTTCGTCGAAGCCGATATATACTCTAATTGATAAACCAGGAATCTTGACATAGTCACAAATGAAAGGCGTACAAAAAAAAATTCGGTTTATTGAGAAATTTAAATTTCTTTACCCTTTGTCAAAGCAATTGGCTTTTTGTTGGGAGTTCAACAAGTTACATGGCTCTGCGGTGACCCAGAAACTCTAAAAAAAGAAAATCAATGAAAGCAGGTGATCAGCTGGTACAAGATTATAAATCATTAACGGCTAAAGAATCGCAATTCAAATCATATTAAAGCCACTTGAAATCTGATATATAAAGGAAAATGTTATGACTACTTGACCCTMTAGACTTATATAAAAATGGGCCACTCATCTGGTTTCCTCGTCATCGTTCTCYGTTAATTATAGGCGTGCTTCGGAGTATAAAATGTAATGATCGAATTAGATCGAAACTGCTGTGTTAAAAGAAATTCTTCCAATTGCAGAAGCGAGTAATTTGAGAGTGATCTACATATCTATGATGTATATCCTAAAATTGTACTTAAAGACTTTATTGATTACTTGTTTTATTGCTAAAAGTTGGTTTCGTATGGTCATCAGAGATGTCCACACACTTGCCAGGCAAGTTGCAATGAATGAATGACCGTTAAAGTTTGGAGGTAGCTTAAAACGCTAATTTACATCCTTATATYAAATGGTTTCTTAGTGTGAATCTATTCCTGTGCTAACATGGCTAATTCATTTTGTCTATATTCAAGGAACAGTGCTTTTTACAAATCATAATGAAATGATGTATATTTATAATCATTATATTGGAAGAGATCTACTAAACAGTCAGACAAAAACATATTCGACTTGGGCACATATTAGGCAAATATGTAAAACCAAAAAAATGAAACAGATTTAAAAAAAAAATTTTCGGTCTAGGATTTTAGATAAGCATCCACTTAAAAGATCCTCAARTTTAAAATGCTTACCTTGGTAATAACACATAAAACAATAAGCCAAACTAAACAGTTCTGTAGTTGACCCATCTTTCCTCAAGTAACTTTGGTCGAAATTACTCSTAGCCTCAACAACAACAAAACATAGCTATATATATATATATATTGAAATAGACTGGTATCAATAAACCCAGTGATCCATTGAGGGTCCCTGCTGTTCAATTGCCACAATCAATAAATATTAAGTCATTGCATTACATGTAGAAGAATGACGTTTTACGTCGCGTTGGTCACACACTATCTATCATAGGGATACTTATCTCATGATTGCACTAGTTTTACAAAGAGACATGAAAAAACTT